TATATATACATATATATATATATACATATATATGTATATATATATACATATATATATATATATATATATATACACATACACATATATATGTGTATGTTGAAAAGTTTCTGCAAAATATGACAAGTTACTTTCATAAAAGTTACTGCAGATTTCAGAGTTAAAAGAAAGCACTGTAGGTTAATGGTGCATACAGTGCTATAGCGGTGCATATTCTCAAAGAAATTTGTAGTTAATTAAATGACCAAACCAATAGCACAGCCTTAATCCAGCCTTATACACAGTGCATCAGTGTTTGTAGCAGCTGACTGTGCACACACACAGGCAAAGTTAAACAAAGATGAACTCGCACCACAGATTGCACCAAAGCTGGCGACACATACTTGAATTCAGCAGTCTTAACCATAGAGATGACAGGTCATGAGTGGAACAGTCACATGGCTAGTTTGCAACACACACTAACCAATGACATATTTTGCTGTTTCAGCATGAGGACCTGTTGCTGTAGTTTAAATTGTAGGAAATGTTGCAGAGCAGAAAGACTTCAGATGTCTGTATTTTTCATATTGAAACCATTATGTAATATAGACTGACTTGACAGTAAAAGTCAGTGCAGAGACTGGAGAGCATGTGTAGCTTTGAGAAAATGTTCTCAGAAAAAATCTAATACAGAATTCTAATTTTCAAATAGGTTACAACAGACAATATTGAAACACATTTCAAGTGTTGCTCAGGGGTTACCTAATTAAAAAAAATCAAAACCAGTGTTATAGATAGAAGGATTATAGGATACAAAGATTTTTGTATGTGATTCATGTGCATTTGTTTAAAAATTAATTTTTCCATAATGTATGATGCCACTAAATTATTTATTTGTAATTTTTAATGATTCACCAACACCAACACTAATATTACTTGATGGGATCTGCCAGATTTTTGCATCCCATAGATGAGATAGATTTCAAATAGTATCTGATATCACATTTAGACCATATCAGGACGCCTCTAGTTAAAGACACATTTAGACACATTTCTCAGGTGTGTTACTGACATTTTATAATATATACATACATACACAATATATTTTGTTGTCTAGGACTGTTGATTAATCAAACTTCCATTCCTGAGGTCTGTGAAATATAATCAAGTTAAATTCTCCATCATGGTTATCAGATTTTACCTGATTAATAACTGATATTGTATTTTGCAATAATAACTCTTCATACAGTAATAACTGTTCCTACCTCAGTATGACCACTGCCTTGTTCAGTCTGTCCCTGTACTGTGACCAGAATTATTTCACTTCCTTTTTATTATTCAGGCTGAGATTGCAGAATCATCAGATTTCATGTCTGACTGACCCACCCACACACCCAAACGACATGACCGTAAGTCACTCAGTAGTGTTGAAATGGACTTCTGAATTGAAAGCCACTGCTGACATTAACTGACACAAGATCAGCTGTTCCAATATAAATGACTAACCCACACTCCTCCACAACCTATGTGCTGATATGTAAGCTGCTCCAAAAGACTGTAGCCAAGGCTGGATTCATTAGTTGGTCAAAGGGGCAGAAATCCAGGGGCCCTAAAAACATTTGTACAATTCATTCATTTATTAATTGTTGTAAAACAAAATACATTCAACAAGGTACATTTTTTGGTATTGCCAAAAAAAATACTGACATCATAGGGGGCCTTAAAATGGATCCTGCTTTTTTCATCCTGTGTTATCAAATACTGCTCCATCGTCATTTTACAATGCAAGGTTGTATGAAATTAATTTTAATTATATACAATACAACTGATTAATAATACAAATAATATATATATATTTTTTTTTTAGCAATTTCTTAGAATTAATTTCCTGAGGAAAGAAGCTGTCTTTAAGTCTGGCGGTACAGCAGAGGAATCTTCTGTAGCAGGTTATCCTTGTCAAAGTGTCCTTCAGCAAAACACTGAACCCCAAATTCCACCTGATGCTGTGTGTATGTATGTGTATTAGTTTTCTTTCTGATGAGCAGTTGGCACCTTGCACGCCACTGCCATCAGTGTATGGCTGGGTGAGTGTGGCATGTAGTGTACAGGTCGAAAGACTAGAAAAGCGCTATATAAGTACAGTACATTTACCCTTTAAGTTTTCTTAAGAAATACAGTTGTTTCTGTCCTTGCTCAGCCTATGTAGAAGTTGTAAAGGACATGTTCTTTGTGACGTTTATTCCCAGTTACCCAAAACTGTTTACCTGCTCCACTGCAGCGCCAGTGATGTAAATGGGGATGTGTGTCTTCCATTGACACCATTGTATATTTTATTGGCTGCAATAAATAAAAGACAGATAGCATGTACTCTTATAAATAAAGAAATAATGATTAACTTATTAGCTAAGTAAATAGTTAATAGTTGCTAATGAGTTGATGGTCAATGGTCATGTGTTATGGTTATGGTCAATCGCTAGTTTCAAGTTTTCTTCCATACAGCATGATGTTCATTTAGTAGATTATGGTCCTTTAGAGTAAACCACTGTCTTGACGCAGAGTATGCTTGAGGGCATGACTTACAAATCATTCTCAGATCAAACTGTCAAACTAGGCAGTACTGATCAAATATGAATCAAGATTCTGTTACTACAGTGCCTATTTCTCTCCTTTAATATTTTCACAAACATATTACTGCTACAAACGAGTCAAATGAGAGTAGCTCAACTCGCAGTATGTCAGTGGCTCCAGCAATCCGTCATGGCGACGGCCATAATGCCAAACTCGAGGGTTCAAAACATTATTCCACAAACCAATGGGTGAAGTCATGATAGGTTTACACTTGGTGTCTTTTACTCCTTTTTCTTAGATCTTACATCAGTTATCTGTTCCTTGGTTTTGCTGACATTGAGCAGTAGGTTATTTTTCTGTACATGAAGAGATTATCATTGTCATATTAAAGTCCAGTGTGTAAGATTTAGCGGCATGTAGCGTTAAAGTTGCTAAAAATTCTTTGTCAAGTGGTGGTTTGTCTGTTCTGGGCTACTGTAGAAACATGGTGTTTGAAAATGGCGGATTGTGTTGAAGAAGACCCGCTCCCTTTGTAATGGACCTTTAATCATTACAAAGGGAGCCAGTGACCTTTAATCACTGGCATGCTTTGAGATTTCAAGAGACACCTGCCTTAAAAGTAGTGTATACCGCTACTGATATGGAATTAAATGTAAACATTTTGAGTGGAATTAACATCTTTTGTATTATTTATTATACTCCATTATTTAAGTAATCTCTGACCTCCAAGCAGTAATTGTAAAAGATTTGACACAATGTATACTTTTTGACCTCAGAAGACTGGGCAAACTAATAAGACTAATAAGCGTTTCTGCACATTAACATTTCACATAAACAGGGTGTGGTATGAAATGAATACATGCTTAACAATTTGGGCGTAACACATGACACATTTTCATCAAACTGGGAGGTAAGGCAAAATATGAGTGTTTCAGGTCATCAAGGCTTCCTTTACAGGAACTGAGAGTGATGAAACATTTCATCAGACTCATCAAAATCCTCACGAGTTTGTCTGAGTGAAAGGAGAAGCTGTAAGCGGCAGACTGAAATGTCAGTAAAACCAAACCCACAGGCCTCAACAGTATTTAAGTATCATCCTGGTCACTGTATCATGTCTTTTGTTGCACACACACTACTGAGATGGGCTCATGGAAAAGAATATCTAATATCTGAAGTCTGACAGGCAAGTACATTTTATGTTTCCTTGAATTAAATCCTTCACGTTAATTAACATGTTATTGTGTCACAGTATTTCAGTGTTTATTTAAGACAAATAAGTCAAAATTCCACGTTACCACCTCAACATATTATATATAGTAAATTGTTTTTATGACAAGCTTGTGTCTATAAATTATACTGTATTTCTATAGAAAGAACATCATTGATTTTGTTAACACTCTCTTTCCATGCCATGCCATTTTTTTGTCTGTTGTCACTGTTATTAACAATATTGCAGATATATTTCCATGACTCCTTGTGTCTGATTTCTACCATGAGACATATACTGTATGTGATTATTATATATTATATTTATATACCTGACCAGCTTTAAAGCTGTTTCCTGCTTACTCCTGCATCTTATATACAAAAACCTGTGCAATGTTTTGAAGTTTACACTTTTTTATTCTTGTTTTTTTTACAAGTAGATAAGGAAGTTTAAAGGATTCAGTTCTGATTATTGATAAAAAATTGTAGGCGTACCTGTTGTAGGCTACTATTGTTTTCTGTCTTGTCCTTAAACATAGAACTAGATTTATGTTTGTTTTATGCAGACAATAATTTATCTCAGTAAAACACCTTGATAAATAAGATATATAGAATATTATAATTCTTCATCTTTGTACTAGTCACATTTATTTTTCAACCTGGAACTTTGAGTTAAATGTGTTGTTTCTTCTCTACTTCAGACATTTGTATCCAGCCATGGGTGACTGGTCTTACCTTTCCTCACTACTAGACAGGGTTCAATCTCACTCCACTGTGGTGGGTAAAATCTGGATGAGTGTCCTCTTCCTCTTCAGGATCTTTGTCCTGGGTGCTGCTGCGGACAAAGTCTGGGGAGATGAAGTGTCAGAGTTCTACTGTGACAGCTTGGAACCAGGATGTCAACACGCCTGCTACAACTGGATGTTCCCAATGTCCTACATTCATTACTGGGTCCTACAAATCACTTTTGTGGCCACCCCAACCCTGGTCTACCTGGGTCATGCTGTCCACATCATCCACAAAGAGAAGAGGATGATGGAGCAGCTGCAAGACAGCACTGACATAACTTTAATGAGGAAGCCAAAGTATACAGATGACAGAGGGAAGGTTAAGATAAAAGGCATCCTCTTTTGCACTTACATGACCCAGCTGGTCTTTAAGATCTTCCTGGAGGTGGGATTCGGTGTGGGCCAGTTCTACATATTTGGCCCCATAAACATGGTCTCCTACTTTCACTGTACTATGTCTCCACCTTGTGCCCGTTACAGCGGTGCCCAGTGTTACATTTCTCGTCCCACAGAGAAGACAATCTTCATCATCTTCATGCTTGCTGTTTCAGGCATTTCAGTGCTCCTCAACATCATTGAGATGATCTACCTGCTCTGTAACAAGAGGAGAGACACAAGGAAACAGCTTCTAGCTCAGCAGCAGTGCCCATCCAACACAGCATGGAGGACCATGAGCAGCCAGTATAAAGGCTTCCCACTGTCACCTCTGCCTGCTCAGGGCCTGGCAGGCCTCTGCAATGATGACAAACATACTGACTGATATGGATGTTTCCTTTTAATATTTTGTCAGTAGCTGTATGGTGTGAAATGTTCTGAATTTAATTATCAATATCGATAATAATACGAATTAACCACCTAGCATTGATTGTGTTTTCCTTTACCATCTCAAGTGAATGAAGGAATTAAAAAAATCTTTAAAATACTGCACTTTGATTGGTCAATAACCACAGCCCCACTGTGTCATAAATGCTAAGCGGAGGCTTCACACTTCCAATGATGGACTGAACTTGGAAGAATTATGTATACCATATTAGTATGTGTTGTGCAGTCGCTTGTTACATTGAGATTAGAATAGAATAAACTCAACTGTCCCAACAATTTGGACACAGGGCTACAGTGTTGCTTCACAAAAGCAAACAAAAACAAATCAGAAAACCATCACAAAATTAACATGAAACATCTCCTGGGTGTATATCTGTATGTATATACACTTTATATGTGGTTTTATTTGATTTTATTTATTTTACATGTTGTTCTGCTATAAATGTAATTATCTTTTTCTATGAGTGTAGCATTAAGTGATTGCAAACTTTTATGTCTTTGTAGAACCTTGTGTTGTGTGCCGTCCCATAAAATAACAAAATAGCAAATTAAGTTGTCAGGACTCGCAAATAAATATAATAAACACTTTTTATGTTACACAGGAGACTGCAAGTTGAAATAGGTGATATTACAAAAAATGTGTTCTCTCCAGTCTGTTGGTCAATTGTACGATCTTGGATAATCCCAGGATCTGAAGCTAAGCTATGCATATAAATAATAACAAAAGGAAGAAACCAGGAGATATAGTCAAGGAAGTTATATCTCATCTGCAACAAGAACAGAGTTCATATTTACAGATTTATACAGATGAATCAAAGTGGCATTTGGAGTAAACATTCCTGAATTAATAATTAAAAATGGACATAGAATTTCAGATCAGATGTCAGTAGTGGCAGCAGAGATGCTGGCAATATTATGGTATAATAAACCAGACAACTCAGTCATATGTAGTGAAAATCAAATGTATTTACATTTATTTCATGTAAAACATTAATTTATATCAAACATTATAACAAGGCAGGGTGTGAGGTAGGTTTTATTAGGGTACCAACCCACATGGGTGTAGAGGGAAACAAGAAAGTAACTTACTTGGCAAAGAGCACGGCTCATAAGTATTAGTTGCCCTACAATGTTGACTGTCAGAATACATTATCATGAATCATAAACAAGTCAGTCAAAAAATGTGTCAGAATAAATGGAAGAAAAAAAGGAAATTGATGTCTTACTTACAGGAAAAGGCAAAGAGAAACTTTGCCTGCAAAAGAAAAGATTCAGTTGTCATAACCAGGTCGAGGCTTGGGCACTGTGGGTTTAGGAGTGTGTTGGCTATGATTGGGAAACACCCAGATGACAAATGTGGAGACTCAGTGACCGTGAAATACTTCCTTATCCAGTGCCAGAATAACTCACTTCATAGGAGGAAGCTGTTTAAGCTGAAAGTGTTTTTACTCAACCTGGATAACTGGACTGAAATAAAGATGCAGATGGAATATTTGTAGAATATTGGGCTAACAAAATATAACACTAGAGGGCAGCAATACAATATTGTAGCCTCTAGTCCAGTTACGACCAACCTTTTTGTGTATCATTGAGTTAAGTGACAACCCCTGACTAAAGGTGACATATTTTATGGATATTTCACATTATATCCAATGCAATAACAATAACAGAGCAGTACAACTGATAAACTGTACATGGAACTCAAACTGTTAATGCGAGAACTGCAGGAAGCTTGTGTAAAATGAGCGATTTGGATGAGTTTTCCTGATATCTTAGGAACATGTAATTCATACTTAACGCATACTTAATAGTTGTTGTTGAATTTGTGACAAAATTCAGTGTTTTCTTTTCTTCTACAATTCGTATATTAGCTCTTTGTTCTGTTCCCATACCTCCCAGGCAGAAAAAAAAGGATCATAAGATGGCGCATGCAGAACATGATTAAGCACTAGCTGGTTACATATTAATGGATAGGTTCACAATGTTTGCAAGAGAGTCTATATAACACAACATTCACATGCCTGTATGTGCATTGAAACTGTTTTTGGTCTCTGTATTTGTTCCTTCTGTCCATACTTGCCATGAAAAAAAGATTTAAAACAACACAACACAATCAAATTAATTATTAATCAATCAAAAGATCTATATTTAGAACACTGGATAAATTCAACAAAAACCCACAGTAGACTAAATTGTTATTTGACCCTAAACAGAGAATATAAATTGGCTGAATATCTCAATTCTATCTTCCTCCTCCATTGTGAGTAAAGTTCTCTTCACTGAGAGATTTCCACAATGGGGAAATAACCAATATTAACCCCAGAAGAAGTTCTCCTTGGTGAAGGGACAACAGCTCCTATAGTAGTAGAAATATGTTATTATTGTTAATTGCTTTGGCAACAACATGTTTTTGTTCATGCCAATAAAGTTCTTTGATTTGAAATAAATAGATTGAGAGAGAGAGAGAGAGAGAGAGAGAGAGGCTGGTGCTCTAATTCCCCTTAAGCCAATTACCCTGTTAAACTGTGCAATACCAGGTAATACTACAACACGTACACTGTGGCTTGTTCCCATACATACACCTGCATTTAATTATTTGTATCACTAGGTGGTGCTGTGCACTGTGCAATGTCACTATGGGGGACCCATAAGGTTTAATGGAAAGTTACAAAATACACAAAAAGATAAGTTCACAATCAACACGTATTTTAAAACATTTTATTTATATTCATAATAATATATATAATCATTATAGAGATGATATAAGACATAAGACCTTCTAAGACACTAGGCTTTTTGTCATAGGCCAAAACAAAGGAGCACTGGAAAGCATAAAAAGAAAGCACTCAAACATGGCCCAATGTGCTTAATAATGGAAAAATAATACCATTGTATGGATGAGCCAGCATAAGAAAACTTTAAGCCAAAGTAGAAACTATTTATTTGCTCTTATAATGCGTTGTGGTTGAGTGACAGTATCATAAGCTAGAGCATCATTATAATTACATTGTGGTGCATTCATTGTTAATATGGACAATGTATTGTCCTCTTGAAACAAGAGATAAATGTGCATGTTTGGTGCTTTTTTTTTTCCAGGAAAGACCGAGGCATGTCACTGCACGAAATCAATAGGGTGACACTTTACAGTCTTTAAGTCTTTACATCCTTCAGGTGTTTTTTGTTCTCATTTCAAGTAAAGTTGAACAACTTAAAAAGGGATGTGTGCTCCTATACCGGGAACGATAAATTATTGGTTGAAAATGTAAAATTCATATTGTTGTAAATGCATTCTGATAATGAAATCATAGCCAAAAAAACCTAACTATAAACGTGTTTTTAAAATACAAAAATGTGAAATTATCATATATCTTATCGGTATCGGCCATGAGAAGCAGGTAGTTATCGGCTATTGGTTGGGGGGGGAAAAAATCCATATTGTGCATCCCTAATCAAAAGCAATAAGGTTAGGGTAGGCTACATCAGGAAAAGTACTTATTATACATAATTTCAGAATGTGATGAGGGTTAGTGTATTGTGTATATTATAACAGCTGGATTGTAAGCTGTTAATGTTGAGGTGGAACTGAACTACTACTGTCTACTTTCGGTCACAGCGCATCATAACTCCAGATGTCAGATAAATGTAACAGAACTACAATGTACCCTAAAATATAATTACTCAAGTAAAGTAAAAGTACCTCAACTTAACTGCAGTGCTTGAGTAAACTTAACATTCCTCCACTGATCACAATATATCGTAATAGTAGGCTACTGTGGACCGTCCTGTATTTTATGTTTTAACGCTGCATGTTTAAGATGATCATCTTTTTAAGTTCATTTGGACTATTTGCTCCACACCTTGGCTCTTTCTTTACGAGTATTTTCTCTGTCCTCCCAGCAGACAGTGGGCTTCGGTCTTGACGTAGAGATCAGGTGACTGTTAACTCCTCTGACGGTACTCTTATAAGGAAGGTTTGACAAGTTCCTCTCAGTTTCCCTGCTGGTCCCAAACTTGGATTTCAACTTTACCAGACAGTGATTTCTACAAGTGGCGCAGAAAGTCCCTCTGGGCCCGCTTCTGTCTCTTTGTAACTTCCCAGGTAAGTTGAAGCTCTCTTCTCTATGATTTATAAAAGGACGTGTGTGAAGAAACGTTTTCCCCTTCAGTACTCCCGTTAGAGCAGTCGGAAAAGTCCGATGCGCTGCAAACAACATGCAGAGCAACTTATAAAGTTTGAGAAAACCCGCTCTGTCTGGTTTATTTTTTTTCCACTCAGATAAAAATTCCTTCAGCGGTAACCACTCAAGGCTCAAATATACAGGGAATAATATGTGATAAACCTGAAATAATGTTTTATTTATTTATTTATTGGATACATTTTGCTTCATTTTTCAAATGTGGTGTCCCGACCGCATTATTCTTTTTCCATTCAAAGCGCCCTGTTGCTGTTGCGCTTCAGTCTGGGCCACTAATCGTTCAACTTGAGGAAAGTTCGGTTTTATAGGCTATTTAAAGACTCCTGCTTCTCTCAGAACAGGGTGACTACTTTGCTTTAAAAACTGTTCAGAAGTATCACGAATCAAGAAAATTCTAGAACTGTAAGGTTAAATAATTTGGCTGGTTTGTCAACTGACTTCTCATTAAAAACTATTGGGTTGGAGAGGTCTGCTAAGACAGTCATTGTGTTGGAGTCTATTGTTCTGCTCTGTCTTGGTCATTTTAACCAGACAAACTCACTCATGTAGAAAGTGGCGGGGCATTCTCTTATAACAACAAAAAAGATTCTTATTTTCCTCAACTGCTTATCATTGCCTTTTTTATTCTTTATTTTTCACTCTGCTGAAGGATGAAGATTGATTTCCAAAGAATGACAATGCAATATGTATATTGTCCAGGTCAGAGGATATAATGTATGTGGTTTAGTATAAGATAAGTGAGAGCACATGTTTGGCCCCATGTGGATTTGACTGGAGGTTCCTACTTATCCACATGAACTTTATGAAGACATGACCAAGGTTCTCCCTGCTCTATTTAGTAAAATGTCAATGTTAAGGCTTTTGTTCTTTACCCCATAAGCTCCAACCTTCTCACAGCTCTTCTTAGTTATTTTCACTTCAGAGTGCGGAAAGGAACTTTGGAGTTACAAACCTCCACCAGACTCCGGATTAGATTATAAATTTCATATGGAATAGTTGAGCTATGAAGGTGAAATTGGAACCTGTAATCAAATCTGCAGTATGTCATTAAATTATACAAAAAAAACATACTGCTGAGGACCCACTTAAAGACCTAGAAAGGACCTCTTCTTTGACATTTGTACGGATTAACTTAACTTCTCAGTTTAATACTGATGCCTCTATATGACCTAAATAAACAAACAAGACCATCAACAAGAACATTGGCTACTTCTATATAGTTATTCTTAATGCCTGCTGCCACATTGGATTCCACTTGAAAACAATGAAATGAGGTGGTAGAAACATTACTCCTTTTGGGACTACCAGAATCAACACATAATTAAAACTCCTTGTTGTTGCTGTAATTTAGAATTTGTTGTACAGTGTGTTTTGTCAAGTCACAAAAATGTATACCTGGCCTGAATAGCTCAGCAGTATTTATTTTTTTTTATTGTTCTGGAGCTTCAAGACTCTTGCATCTGTTTCTACAACAGACAGTCATGGTTCATTTTGACCAAGGCTGGGCACTAATTTTCAGGGCATGAGCCCAGACATGCTTAATAACTAATTATAGTATATGTAACATGAGTATATGTAAAATGAACACTAAATATGTAAAATTAAACTCAGTTTTTCAGCATGACACCAAGTCAGTCTACTGAAGCTTTGGATTAAATTGTCACAATGGCTAGCAGTTGTTACTAAGTAAATGTAGCAATGGGCTGATTTCCCCAAATAAAATCTTCTGTGTATCTACAGAACCTTTCTCTGTAAGCACTGAGAAGAGAAGCTCACCACAGGCCTCAATGAGAAGATTTATCTACAGTGTCTATTCTGCTGCACACACTTATCAGATTGGTGTACAATCAAGCAGCATAGTGGCTTTGTTCCAGTAGCCTCAATCTGAACAGCTTGGCTAAGACAACAGCACTCTGTAGATTCTCTACAACAGTAGCCTTCTTGCATTTGTGCCCAAATCAACATTTATTAACATATAGGCTACATTGTGAACCAATTCTAGAAATGCACACTGAGAAAATAAAGAATAAATACAAATAAAATAAATAGCTAAACATCAGTACTGTAAAAGCTACAAACCTTTTTGCAGTACATACTGGAACAAAAAGAATTGTATGTCAATATATACCAGATAACATACGACATATATGACATTGAGTCTATGATGTCTATGATAGGCCAATATCGGCTGATAATATCTGCTGACCGATACATTGGTTGGGCTCTAACAAGAACAACTATTGAGGAATTGCAGGACTGAGGCTTTAAAACTTAGCTGAATCAGATCACACAACAGCAGAATATAAGCAGAGTCTAATGCAAGTAATATGTATGAACTTTGACAAACATTTTTTAAAACTGGCCTAAAATCTGTACAATGGTTAGTAGGTGTCAACTGACATAGCTGGAAGATCCAAGAAATAGGTTTCAAAATGCAGCAGAAAAGTACTCTAAATAGAATCCCACCATGTGAAATACAGAGGTAGCAGAAATACACATATTCTTTACTAAGTAGAAGTAAAGATTCTTGTGTAAAAAAAGAAGACTCTACTCTATCTATCTACTCTACTCTACGACTAGAAGTAGATATATTGATTGAACTTCTTTACTCAAGTAAAAATGAAAAAGTACAGGCTCCAAAATGTACTCAAAATATAAATGTAAAAAGTACTCTCTTGGGTTCTCTGAAGAACATTTCTAACTTCAAATAGAGTAGAGTCTTGTTGTTGCGTCTTTATGTCGTTTTTGTCATTTGTGATATGCACTGGTCTTGATGTTGGAAGGCTTGCAGTAATGCAAAAAAACATTTTTTTAAATTGACAATTCTACTTAAATGCATCAAATTAAAAGTAACAACCCTATTTTTCATAGGGTTTTTTATTTTTTAAATTTAAGGAGTGAAAAGTACAAATGTAGCCAGTACCTAGTTACTTTCCACCCTGCTGAAACATGTTTTGTTTTGCAGGACCACTGAAAAAAACTTGCTTGAGAATGAGAGAAGTCTGATTAACCCCAAGCAAGCACGCAAGTTATTTTAAGATGTTTAGTGTTGCAGAATGGCTTTAGATATTCACAATAATGGATTAAGCATTTGATTATTAATATTCCCACCCCATCATTCTTTATTGGAGGGGTTAATGAAGAATTGGGTCTATGATTTGATCATCTTGCAGATGTGAAGAATTTAATTGGACTTTGGGTTTCTCAATCTTGCTCTATCAGTTCGATCTAAGGCACTTTTTATTTTCGAGGAATACTTATTGTAGTTTGTTAAAGAATTTGTTTACCTAATGAATCAGATTATTTTCATATTTTCACATCCTTTCCTGGATTTAAAGGCCGCTATTACATAAACTGCCCAAAAGATGTTTTCTGTCCTGCTTTCAGTAATTGGATTAGCTTGTGTTTTACGTCATGAAACACCTTGTTTTGTCTCCTCCAATAATGATACTGTTTGATCACATGATGCTGTCAAAATACCCAACGTCAAGAATGCAGAGGACGTTAATCTTCCCCTAAAATCAAAAGTACTGTCTGGAGCACTTGTGTAGTACCTGATCGTTGCAGATTTTTGAGGCTGATACCGAAATTCACAATTAGTGATAAAGTGAACTTTTGAGCTGGAATGAAAATAATCCTTCTCTATGTGTGCTGTGCACATTTAACTATTCTTTAACATGTTAAATAATTTGACCAATTCTAGTTGACATTGCTGAGAGTGAGTTCTTCTCTCTTACTCTGTGCTGCTTGCCAAAATATTGTAAATCTCTGCTGGATAGATTTGGCTGTGACACCAATATCTGACCACAATACTTTTTTTATGCATTATATACTGGAAAAAAACAGTATTCATATCGTTGCATATTAATACCGATACCGATATGTCTGTGATAGGTCAACATTGTTCGATAATATCGGCCAACCAATATATTGGTCGGGCTCCACGTGTATCTTTTAAAAATATTTTTAATAATTGATGCTCTCTGTATATTATTGTCAGTTCATCATTGTCCTTTTTTCATCAGCAACACTCCCTGATAATGGGTGACTGGAGTGCCCTGGGTCGTCTGTTGGACAAGGTCCAGGCTTACTCTACTGCTGGGGGGAAGGTCTGGCTGTCGGTTCTCTTCATATTCCGGATTCTCGTTCTGGGTACTGCAGTGGAATCAGCCTGGGGAGACGAGCAGTCTGCCTTCAAATGCAACACCCAGCAGCCCGGTTGTGAGAATGTCTGCTATGACAAATCCTTCCCCATCTCCCACGTTCGCTTCTGGGTCCTTCAGATCATCTTTGTGTCGACGCCCACACTCCTCTACCTGGCTCATGTCTTCTATCTGCACAGGAAGGAACAGAAATTCAACAGGAAAGAGGAGGAGCTTAAAGCTGTGCAAAATGATGGAGGTGATGTTGACATCCCACTGAAGAAAATTGAGATGAAAAAGCTTAAGTATGGCATAGAGGAGCATGGCAAAGTGAAGATGAAGGGGGCCCTTCTCAGAACCTATATAGTCAGCATTTTCTTCAAGTCTCTGTTTGAGGTGGGGTTCCTGGTTATCCAGTGGTACATGTATGGCTTTAGCCTGTCTGCCGTCTACACCTGTGAGAGGTCCCCATGCCCACATAGAGTGGACTGTTTCCTGTCCCGTCCCACAGAGAAGACCGTCTTCATCATCTTCATGCTGGTGGTCTCACTGGTGTCCCTGTTGCTCAATGTGATTGAGCTTTTCTATGTGTTTTTTAAGAGGATCAAAGATCGTGTGAAGGGCAAACAGCCGCCCACACTGTACCCCAGTGGAGGCACCTTGAGCCCCACCCCTAAAGAACTATCCACTGCCAAGTACGCCTACTATAATGGATGCTCCTCTCCGACTGCCCCACTCTCTCCCATGTCACCCCCAGGCTATAAACTAGCCACAGGGGAGCGGGGAACTGGCTCATGCCGAAATTATAATAAGCAGGCCAATGAGCAGAACTGGGCCAACTACTCCACAGAGCAGAATCGCCTCGGCCAGAATGGTGGAGGAAGCACTATTTCAAACTCCCACGCACAAGCCTTTGACTTCCCGGATGATACCCACGAGCATAAGAAACTCTCCTCATCAGCAGGACACGAGCTGCAGCCACTGGCATTGATGGACGCCAGGCCCTGTAGCCGGGCCAGCAGCCGAATGAGCAGCCGAGCCAGGCCCGATGACCTGGACGTGTAAGCCCTGGTTCCTTTTCCCACTGCTGCCTGGCTAATGGGATGTTTCCATAGAGTCCGGAAACTCTCGATTCATATAAGAAGTGGGGCTAACCTCAATCACTGTCTTCAGCATAGAGACTCTTAGTCAGTCAAAGAGACATTAAAACTTGTTATATAACACTGTCAGAGGTACAAGTTGCAAATATTATGTTTTTATTATAACTTTTTAGTGGAGCTAACCCAGCTTTAGGAAAACAGAACAGCCACAGAAAGGTGCAAGCATTGCCCCTTAAACCAGTTCAAGAACAGGAGAGAAAGTGACTAATTGATGGTTATGGTTTAACTAATAACTAATAATTTTAATTAGCCAAGCTTATATCAGAGGAAAAGTCTGTTTTCTTCTTATTTTCAGTTCAGTTTCAGCTTAGTTTCTTCTACTCTTGCTATTTGTGACAGCATTTTATTTACTACTGTCAGATCTGAAGCTATGGTGATAGCTTTACAATAGCATGCCTTCTTAGTTGTATCTTTTAAACATCTGACCAGATAAAACATTTGTCTTTACCACTTTATATGCACAGATTTGCATACACACTGCTAAAAGAATATGGTTTGAGGAATTGGTTATCAATGTGTCCACAATGCGTTTTGTATGTATTCACATTTGTACTTAGAGCTGTCCACTTTTGATTGTCTCACCCAAGATGTTTGTCAGTACCAGGGGCAGGTCCTGGGAGAGGACAGTCATTACAAGTATGAAGGCAACAAGCTCTTGTCAGGAACACATAAATTATATTTGTTGTTTGAACAAATGAACAAAGACTTTATGTGTGAATCAACATCACTAATGCATATTTTACTGTTTTCACTCAGCCTATCCCACTTCCAAAATAAAAATCACAGTTTCGTCTCGGTCACAAGAAAGACAGGAGTTATTGTCCAGGGCCGTCGCATAGACAAAGCAACGACCACTTGGCACAAATGATATTGAGAATGCCCAATATCAGTTGTAGTGAATATTTATGGCTTGTCATCTGTAGGACACCTACCACTAAGAGGAAAAATTGACTACTATTCAGTATCTCTTACTCGCAGAAAACATCTTACATGAACTCCCCGCAAACTGTATATTTATTGACGGTAAAAACATTATTTTTCTTAATTAACATTTTCAGTCAGTGTGGACTGTTGTTTCCTGATAAACTTTGAATTTATGTGGTATTATGTTATAATTTGTGGTTTTATTTGTCTTTTTGGGGTGTGTGTGAGAGTGGCAGGGCTGAGGGTTCAGGCTGTTGTGACAGCAAACTGATCTGCTTTTATATGGGTCCATAAAGAAAGGCTTTATTGCTGTCATTAATTCGACAAGTGTGTTCTCTTTTTTCATCTTTTGTGGGCGGTAGAGAAATACATTAGAATGATTATCTGTGTTTTACATATTTGAATGAATGATTTTTTGTTCTGTAGGTATTGTTTTGTTTTTTAGACTCGATGTAACCGCTGCTTGAGAAATAGATATTTAGTACTGTAAATCAAGCTAACTGTGTCACGATAAAAATGTGAGTTTTTAGAGGACTGCTTATAGATCTGGACTAATATTTAGTCAGTTATATTAAAACGTATGCCAATGTAGCTCTACAACCACCAAACAGTAGGATAAATCTCAATTTGGCTGTTTTTTTTTTTATTGTAATTTTTTACATTTTTATTTCTGCATCATTTTGTTGGTACTTACATGTGTCATGGATCTTTCAGCTACAATGGCATTTGCACTGAGATCTTGGTGATAGAGATGTAATATGATGCACACAGTAAGTGGTAAGAGTTTTCTGATACACATGTTACTAATTTATTTTATAACACAGAAATCACTACAGTGCATAATATCAGACATCTGACCACTGGTTTCATTGACTGGTTCTGTGAGAGATGTCTTCTATTGACAGAACAGGAGCAATAGTCATTTGTTGCAGTTATTCAGACAATGCAAACCCACGGGGATCCACTGTTGTACAGTGTAAGTACATGATAGCAAAACAAAAACTCATTCATTGTATCTGTGAAAAGCTATTTTAACCAATAAATATTTTTCTGTCTTACTCTGTCTTACTTTTACTTACTTACTTACTTTTTACTCTTTTTGTCATGACTGAGGTTTGAATGAACCACCAGTCAATAAACCACTGCTTATTTTTGCTCCTCATTATGATTTAGAGCTAGTATTTTGACAAAAATGTAAATTAGCTTCAGGAACATTTAGAAAATTTTAGTCAAATTTTTGTCACAGATTTTCATTCTTTTATGTCGTCTAATCATTCTGGTTATCCTTTTTTGTCTTGTAACTGTAAATACTCACCTTTGATGTACAGATCAGCCATAACAATGTTAATAATGTTATGCAACCCCATACTCAACAAACTGTAATGCACTGTGTGTTCGGACACCTTTCTATCAGAACCAATATTACCTTTTTCAGCAATCTGATCTACAGTAGCTCATCTGTTGGATCAGACCACACAGGCCAGCCTTCGCTCCCCACGTGCATCAGTGAGCCTTGGCTGCCCATGACCCTGTCATTAGTTCACCCGTTTTCCTCCCTTGGACTACTTTTAATAGGTAATAACTACTGCAGACAGGGAACACCCCACAAGAGCTGCAGTATTGGAGATGCTATGACCCAATCATCTAGCCATCACAATTTAGCCCTTGTAGAATCCTCATGCTGCCCATTTTTCCTGCTTCTAACACATCAACTTTGAGGAAATTTTTTTCACTTGCTGCGTGATATAGCCCACCCACTGAAAGGTACCAGATAATCAATGTTATTCACTTCATGGGGGGCTGT